TATATATATGTATATGTATATGTATGTATGTATCCTCCTGAAAGAGTCCATTAAGTGAGCAATTTTTTAGCACAATGCTTATTCAGTGTAGCATGACACAATATGCAAATATAGTGTGGCGAATTACATACAACCACTAAACTTCATTGAACTAACAACCTTTTGCGTGCGCTATATTCTATTCTAAAAGAGCAGGCATAAATCTGGGTTTTAGTTTGTTAAGACGCGTTGGTGACAGAAAACGTACTTTGCAAACGCACTGTCTGACACGGTCTGACGACGTTAGCAAACCTAATACACAACTGAACTTATAAATCAATATAAATCATTTTTATATCTTCTATATATAAATAAATGTATTTATTTTGTAGTATTGTTATGATATTTTTTTAATGGTTTTAGGAATTTAATCTTTAGTCAGAGACGTGATTATGAACACCAGGTGGATCAGAATCTTGATAATGAATAATTAACATTGATTTTAGAATGTGTATATAGTATTTTTGTTACCACTGAAACGAAACAAATATTTTAAATTTTTATATTTTAGGCCTACTATGATTTAGATTACTTTTTTGTAAATGAAATGATAGACTTTGATGCAAAGAGGAAGAGACTCCTACATGTTTTACTTATGGAAATATTGTCTCTTGACTATTTCATTTTTCAGTGCTTTTCAAAAGAGAAATAAACCAACCAAAATGAAATCTCCCTGATAATGGCGCAGGCAAAAATAATGTGGGATCAGGCTATTGCAGCATGCTGTGGCATACTGCTACCATAACCGGGAATCTCCAAAAAGACCTAGCTTGGCTTAGGCTAAAAGACGATACATACAACATGCTACATTCTCGTCATCCATCATTGTTTAACCACGCCACCACAACCCTTTTTACCCACTCCACTTTACAGAGGGCGCTGTGTCATTTCTCCCCGTCACAATGCACAATTCTATGAAATGTCTATTCTGATGAATGGTGCCATCTACGACGTCATTGTAAAGTCATTGTCATTTGAAAATCATTCATGTCCAAGCCCGTAGGCAGGATTTTTAAAGGGGTTCAAATTTTTCACAAAAGGGCACTTGGGTCCTTATCCATCTCAGCCCCATCATGGCTGGCGACAATTTTAAGACATAACACCTCAGATGTCTGGAGACGGCAATAAAAATGCCAAATTTTAAATATTTGGAGTTATTTCAACAACTTTCCATGCAAGGTTAGGCCTACTTTTTATTTCTGGAAAAGGGGGGTTCTTTCGATGCAAGTGGTACTTTTTACTTCTGAAAAAGGGGGTTCTTTTGAACCCCTCGACCCCCCAGGCTATGGGCTTGATGTCTGCAGCCTGTGAAAGTAACTCGGTAATAGAAAATGTTTATTTTTTTTACAGGTATTACATGTTGTTACATTAAAAAACATCACATAGAATAAAAGCTTGTGTCTGGCCATGTAGTGAGGGCAATGCCATTCGTACTCGATGTGATAACAGAAGACTTATCTCTATTGGTTTTTTTTCAGTTTATTGTTATTATTATTATTATTATTATTATTATTATTATTATTATTATTATTATTATTATTATTATTATTATTATTATTATTAGTAGTAGTAGTAGTAGTAATATTATGGTGGTGGTGATGATGATGATGATGCCAATGATGACGATGATAATAATGCTGCTAATGACGGTGATGTTGAACAGCAAATCAATGCCAAAGACAGCTGGAAGTATATTCTGCCCCTGTTCAGAGTTGACACAGGTCGTTGATTGTATAACTTGCGACTTTAAATCACAAACAAATAGGTCTAGTAGTTTCTTTGTTGACACAGGTTGACACAACAGCTTCATCCAGTGATGATATTAAGTGTCACAGTCATCACCATCATCGTTATCAATTATCATTATTGCCAGAATAACAGAATAATAATAACAACTTTAAATACAATAATGATAATAATTATATAATAATAATAATAATAATAATAATTATTATTATTATTATTATTATTATTATTATTATTATTGTTATTGTTAAAATAATAATAATAATAATAATATTAATAATAATAATAATTATCATTATTATTATTGCCAGAATAATAATAACAACTTTAAATACAATAATGATAATAATTATGTATTAATAATAATAATAATAATAATTATTATTATTATTATTATTATCATTATTATTATTATAATTATTGTTAAAATAATAATAATAGTAGTATTAATAATAATAATAATAATAATAATAATAATTATTATTATTATTATTATTATTATTATTATTTATCTTTCATTTGAAAAATCCTCAGATATAGCCCTCCGTGACCAAATACAAAGTAACCTTTGTTTTTTTTTAGGCCTACATAGGCCTATACTTTGTATTTTTTTCTTAAACATAGGTCTACGCCATATATTCAATTCCCATTCCACACACATTCAATCAAACCATTGAACTACACATTTTCAAGCATTTATAATTTACAAGTGATTAACTTTCATTAAAAACACAAGTTAGTTTTTATACTTTTTGCTACGATAATTTAAATGGTTTGAAAGACAACGGCTGAAGTTACAACATGACCAATAATTAAAAATTTAATAACGGTTTAACTATTTAATGTTTTATTATTTGAATTATTATTATTAGTTCAGCACCACAAACAGTATGTATAAGTTCTACTGTTTTCTCTACTCTCTCCGTTCCACGCGCCTCAGGATATTGGTTAAGTAACAATTATTGTTGTGTCTTCTTAATAATGTGACCATTATAAGTACAATAATAATAATAATAATAATAATAATAATAATTATTATTATTATTATTATTATTATTATTATTATTATTATTATTGTTATTGTTAAAATAATAATAATAATAATAATATTAATAATAATAATAATAATAATTATCATTATTATTATTGCCAGAATAATAATAACAACTTTAAATACAATAATGATAATAATTATGTAATAATAATAATTATTATTATTATTATCATTATTGTTAAAATAATAATAATAGTAGTATTAATAATAATAATAATAATAATAATAATAATTATTATTATTATTATTATTATTATCATTATTATTATTATTATTATTATTATTGTTGTTGTTGTTGTTGTTGTTGTTGTTGTTATAAATAGTAATTATTTTTACTATTTTATTATCAATATCCAAAGTAGTGTTTTAGGGAACTACAATTACAGGTAGCAATATTTTAAAAAGTATTGTGAATAAATACTTTAAAAAAATTTATTTTAAAAATATGGTAGTGGTAACGTCTGATGTAGCTATTTACTTAGCATAGATGTACCAGGAAAGCTGGGTTGGAAGAGTTGATTCAAAATGTCACCGCTGCTTTTCCATTTGCAAACTGAATAATGTAGCGCCACCTTTTATTCAGACAAATAGAGACGAGTATTGCCTCATTCTTTAAATTCACTTCACTATAAAGATTCTTACCTGTTCACAACGGGAAAAATAATTTACTTTATCAGTGGTGGGTCCAGGATGGTAGGTCGGGGGAGGGGATGCTCGAAGCGGCAATCGAGGATTTAATGAAAAGACTTAGGGACGACGTTGCCTTTTGTGATGTTAGGAGTGTTATAAGGACAGGGTGGCTGTTCTGGAGTAAAGTCATTTTATCTTTTATCTAAACTAATTTATAGTTTGAACTTTTTGGCTTCATCAAATACGGTATTTATTCATATAAATCTTTCAATCATGATAAAAACATAAAACGCGATGTTTTAAATGTTTAAAATTTGTTTCGTAGTGTAACATATTTTCTTGAGTAGATGTGTAAGCTGTGTTAGATATCAGTATGTAAAAATGGAACAGGCTGTTAAAGAATCGGAATAGAAGTAAAAACAACTTTACTTATATTTGGAAGAATTTCCTTTATAGTCTATACATTAAAGAACCTTTCACAGTATAGCTTTTTATACTAGATTGTTGATGGGATGTGATTGGTTCGCCTGACAAGCTACTGTAAACGGTCGTCCAGACGACGGCTACGCAAGCAAACTATAATCCAATGCAAATAGAGCAGAATTTCTAAGGACAATAGAAAGTAGGTGGTGGTTATTTAACAGGAAGAACCCATTTTTTATAAAGTGTAGTCGAGGCTGCATAAATTTAAATGGAAAACGAAAAAACATTATTCACGCCCAAAATATTTATTGTTCAGGAATGGTCGATTCCAATATGGTACACAAAACCCTCAGTGGACAGCCAATTATACCTCTCGGTGATAAGGCATTGTGGCTCCGGTGACCGTTGATAGATTTCTAGCCTATCAATATTTAGGTCAATTAGAATTTATGGAAATATATCCAATGTAAGAAAAATACCCTTGAGCAGGAAAATATGGCTAAAAGACGACGTATAGCAAAGGCTTTGCTTGCTGCTGTTATTTTGATATTTATATTGGACGTTTACTACTCAAGCAGAGATTCTGCAAGCTCTAAATTTCGAAGAAAATCTGACTCTGCGTAAGTTTTACATTTTAATTTAGTAGGCATGCTTACAATTTTAGGAATATAAGTTAGCTCTTATGGACTGTTATGTTGTGATGATATGAAGACCCAATGTAGACCTAAGTATGTCATTGTCCGTGTAGGCCTGTTTTTTCATAATTATACATACACACATACACACACACACAACCGACGTCAGTGAGGCCAACCACCTGGGACGGAGAAACAACTGGTGGGTAGTATATAAAATAATAATAATGCCTTCCTTTTAACTTAGTTGAAATTTCCATGGCAGAAATAACACGTAAAAAGTATAGTACCTGTCTCTTATACACATCTAGATGTGTATAAGAGACAGTATATATATATTATCATTGTGTCATTGTTGAAGTACAACATGCAAATTTTCAGAAACGAGTCTATATCCTTCAATCCTGATTGATTGATAGATTAAATCAAAATCAAATCAAATACTTTTATTTAAGATTTCTTCATATACAAACAAGTACAAAAGAATATAAAATAGAAAAGCAAATAATTCTACCTAGGCCTACTAACAGCACTAGTGTTCAAATGAAGAAACGAAACTGTTTAATAGTATATTTGAAAGTGAATCTTACTTTTTTAATTTATTATAGTTGTTCGTACTGCATCGATATATATTCGTTATGGAATCATAACGCATGGAATGACACCTTTCAATCTACCGAACAAGCAGATATCTCCTGTCAGTCATCGCACCACATTGTTTTTCTGAAGACACATAAAACAGGAAGCTCAACCGTTACTTCAATCCTTCAGCGATTCGGTTTCTTGCGAAACTTAACGTTTGCTATACCACCCAGAGGAGGACATATAATAAGTTTACAAAAATTCAACAGACGTCAAGTTCTTGCTGGAACATACGACTTGATAGTGAATCACGTACGGTACAATCGCATAGAAATGGAGTCAGTTACAAACCCAGATAGTAAATACATTACAATAATCAGAGATCCTGCAACTCAGTTAGAATCTGTCTTCGGATACTTTCAGCTTTTCCGCCCTTTACATTTAAGTGATAAAAAAAATCCGTACAGTGAATTTATATCGCGACCACAGTACTATCTTCATAGAAACACTAACTTTGGAATGAGAAGTTACCTGAGAAATCCACTTCTTTATGATCTTGGACTCGATCGAGAACAGCAACTAGATGTGTCAATAGTAAACCGTACGATAAGCAAACTAGCGAAAGAATTTGATCTTGTAATGTTGCAAGAATATTTCAACGAATCATTATTGCTATTAAAGAAACTTTTGTGTTGGGAATGGGATGATATTATCTACCTAACTAAAGGTGAAAGAATTAAGACATTAAGGTACGCTGTCGCTAATGACATCAGAAAGAAAACGAGAAAATGGTGTGCATCAGATGTTATGTTATACGACTATTTCAATGCCACATTTTGGGAAAAGGTGAAGAATTACGGACCAGAATTTGAAACGGATTTGAAGATTTTAGAATCGAAATTGAATGAAACCAAGTATAATTGTACGCTGCCCGAGGAAAGGCCCAATGTAAAATTCAGAGCCTATGAAGCTATCCCAAATCCTGGCGCAAATACGTTATGCAGATACATGCTAAAATCAGATAGACAATTTACACAAATTATTCGAGCTAAACAAGAAGATAGGTTAATAAAGGAAAGACAAAAACAAAATCATACGAAAATATAAGATGAAATATTTTTGAAAACCAGTAAATTACATAATAAAACAGCATAAATGTAGGCCTATATGAAGTAATAAAATACGTTCAAACACTACGACACTACGGTACATCATAAAACACTTAGGCCTAAAATACAAAATAATAGCGACAATAAGAATCCGTGCATATATATATATATATATCTGTCTCTTATACACATCTAGATTTGTATAAGAGACAGTTAGGGAACTA